GTTGTCTCACTGAGGCCACACACAGGTTGCATTTCTTCCATATTTCTTCTCAGCCCCAGCAGGGAAGGCAGATTAGTCGAACTCCTGGTGCATCTTTAACAGTGCTAAGAGTTAGTACGCCCGCAGGGTGCCTGTAATGACAGACGCAGTCCTTCCAAACCAAACCTGTAAAGGACAGAAGCAGTCCTTCCAAACAAACCAGAATGACCAGATCTGGAGCCCCATTCCCAGCACCTTCCAGGGCTGGAGCTCCGGGAGCTGATTGATCACCGGATCAGTGGTCCGTGTTCCAAGTGTGACCGCAAATGAAACAGGGTAAAGCTGAAGTAACTGCCACCAGAATGATTTGGGATGGGGGGTGGGGGTGGAGGGGAGGGGGGTGTGCCTGTGGCTCCTGTGACCAGTACCTATGCCCCTGTTTGGTGAGCACAGCGTTAATATATAGGTGTGTGGCCCTATCGGGCATGACACGTGTGTGTCACACGGTGGTGCTGCTGTTCAGCAAATGTGAAACCTTCCCCAGTAATGGCAAGGAGGGCTTTCAGGCGCTGCAGGAACAGATCTTTCATCTTCTCGTTGTGTCATGGCTGGTAAGTCAGATACTGGGGTTTTCTTGTGCTGTACCTGCCTAGCTCGCGTGCGTTCCTCTTCACAGCAGATGTTTCAAGTTAGCACCAAATGATGAGCAGGCCCTGGGTATGGTGCGGCAGAGCAGCGAATTCCCAAGGAAAGAAACTAAGGTCTAAGCTTCACGAGTATGTTCATCAACAGGAAGCACTTAAATGATGTAGAAAACAGGTTTTTGAATTTCAGCTTACAAATGTCAGTTGACAGGGTTAGAATCACAGCTTTGTTCCTAGTGAACTCAGCCTTTTCTTGGTGCTGTGTTCCCAAACAAACATCAAAGAGGTAACAGCAAACAGCCAATCTCGTTAGTGAAATTAACTGTGCCATTATTATTAAATCATGTTATTGCTTTGTGCCTTTGTCAGAATGATATTTCATCGTAACCATGATGGTGTAAGGACAAAGAAGGCACATGGCTGGAAGAAGTAACACACTTTATTAAATAACTGATATGACAGGAAGAAATGAACAAACTTTAAGTCACTCAAGCCCTTCTTCAGATTTCCAGGTTTGAGCACCCAATATTTTCTCTGATTTTTCCAACTATATCAGTTTCTCTAATAGCATCTACAGGCAAACCACTTTCTGCTTTTTTGGAATTGGTATCGGTTTATCAGAACAAAGAAGGAGCCTTGACTTCCAGTGGATCCGCCAACTGATAGACCACTCTGGGTTGAATCAATTCAATCAAAAATGGCCAAAACAGCATCTAAGGCTCTTAGACACATTCATGTATTGTAAATGACCATTGTAGAAAAATGTACCGGCTGCTGTAAATCCTCTCATTTTCATCTTGCTTTATCAATACACAGGTGTTTAAAAAGGCAAGTCTGTTGTCGATGGCTGTGATTTCTTAAACACTGCACAAATTCTGGTGACTCAATGACAAAATTTTTAATGCAAGTGTGCTACCCTAAACAATTTCACTTTTTTTTTTTTTTATTTTTCTCACTGTACTCATGAGCCATTGCACATTTCTGTTGTTGTTTGTGCAGATGAATTAAATGCAAATCTTGATCAGAAACAAGTTCTTTAAGTTCCTTAAAGCACTTTTCTCATCATGGACCACATGGGTAATATTACTTTGAGTCAGGTAGGCATACTCCAGTCACCATTTAACCCAACGAGAATATTTTCACTGCTTCCAGTCCGATTCCCACTTCCCACAGGTTTTTCTTGGACTCTACTGGGGAACAGATTTTGAATTTCATTTATCCAAGGCTTTGTATTTATTACCTAGGGTCCAGCCTGAAGAAGGAGTGAGTGTGCCCGACAGTAAGTGTGTGTGTGTGTGTGTGTGTGTGTGTGTGTGTGTGTGCGACACACAGGAATCACTCGCTGCAAAGGGTCCCTGGTCCCATCAGTGAAAGACTTGGGTGGTGGGTGTGCAACTCCTGAATGGGGTATGAATGCTCAGGCAGCGGCTTCTCCTGTAACATTTGCCACAAAAGATTACCATTATTCACAGGATCCACTTTTCTTTCAGTCTTTTTGACACTGATAATAAAATATACATACATGTATACTAAGAGATGGAAATCTTTATAGAAGGCTATTGAGGTAATGCCTTGGAAGTCTGCTCAAATATTCTTCTAGGGATTGAAAAGCAAAAATCACCCTTTTTTTAGAAAATTGTTTTTATGGGGGAGAAAGGACAAGGTAGTTGGTAGGTGTATAAAATAATGTATAAGAAAGGATGATGGTCTGTGACAGTCTCATCACCCAAATCAGTTCTCTCTCTCATACACATACCAAGTCAATGAACCTCGTCTTAGAGAAGACAGAAGATCTGACTTCTTACAAGCAATTCATTATTTTTCCAATGTGGAGAAAGATGCAAAATGTTGCATTGTTTCTTTGGTACAAGACATTTTCTTCCATCTTCTCTGAGTGAGCATGATTTGATACTTTTCTCATCTTGACACCCTTCATTCTGTTTTCTCTCCTGGAGGTTGGTAATGCTGCCAAGAGAGGGCAGCAACCAAGCACAGAAACTACACGCCTGGCCCTGCATTAGGTCACATAGGAATTTAATTTAGGGGATCATTAGCACAGAAGCTCTGAGTCTTACTATAATTACTGCTCAATGCACTTAGCTCACTGCCAATTCATTCTCACTGCGAAAGCAAACCTCTGAATTGCTGTCTTTTCTTTGTGCTTTCTTTCAAATGAAAGAAATAAGCCCAAACTTCTGCTGAATCATTTGAAAATAAGTTCTGTGCCATGGGAGCATGGTCAGACAAACACCAGGCGCTGCTCTGGGGATGCTGTGTAGAAAGCATAGATCCCACACATGCACTGCCACAGATTTACAGGGGACTGAAAGCACACAAGAAACAAGTGTACAGCGATATTGTGTCTTTATGTCCATGTGTAAGACATTTTCACTGTCCATGCTATCAGCTTCCTACTGCAGGCTGCATTGCCGATAATACACTGCTCCCTTCTCTCACGGGCAGTGTTTTCTCTCAAATCCACCATTCCCATAAGATCTGGAGCCACCTCCTTCATGTGCAAGGTCGCATGATCAAGTCACCACGTATCCTCACAGACATGCTTATTCCAATATTTAATGACTTGACCCAGGCTGAAACTGCTTTAGGAAAAGAAAAAAAAAAAAAAAAAGTAACCTAGTTGGTTTTAATGCAGTTAATTGTTTTTACCCCGAAAGGAGTTGCAGTGTTTTGGCCCCTGCCTCTGGAGGCAGTGGGTTCTCCTGCCCATATTTTTGAGATTACCACATTAAAACACAACATTCAGAGTGGACTTTCACTTAATGAGGAAAATGTCATGGCCTGATGGAAAACGGAGTTGGAGGGAGAGAGGATCCGCACATGCTGCATGTCACTGAGGAACAGAAGTGACATTGCTTTCCGTGGCTCTGCTCTTCCCACGTCAAATACGAATGCTGGCTCTTCACCCAGTCATTGGAAAACACCTGAAGCTCTACTGATAAAATGAAACTACTATTTAAGGACAGAAGCACACTGTGAGGAGCTGGACAGGGCTGTAACGGTGGGAAAGCATGAAGCGGTGGATGACTCCGGCCGCTTGTGCTATACTTAGACATGAACGGACTAATGCTGGCTTAACCTGGTGTGTAAAAAAAGGAAAATCTGTGGGTCAGAAGACCTAGCTGTGGGAGACCTTGACAGGTTTCTCAGGGCAGGAGGAGCTGAGAGACCACCAAGCCCACAGGGAAGGTGTTCAGACCCATATTGCTTCATGTCTGAAACCTCTCCGGCTGGTGGAGGGGGAACACCCACAGTCCCACGGGTGACCCTGCTCGTTTCTCCTCAGCCACGAGGCTGTGCAGCAACCAGCTTTTTAGGGGGAAGGAGATTAAACGAGAGGAGGGGAAGCAAAAAGAAGAGGAGTGGTGGGGCCACGCCAGGCAGATGCTGCTCTCCATGCAGATACCACTGCCCTTACTGTCCAAGGCCGCATGCTGCCCCAGATGTCCTCTCTAACCTGGGCCAGGGCACTGGAGCCCAGATTAATGTAAAGGCCAATTCAGTTGCCTAAATTCCCTGCAAGGGTGTGAGCCTCGGCTGCACTTTCGTGCTACAGCTAGATCAGTTTGGCAGCGGCTGAACGTGGCAGGACCCCTCCTGCCCTGCTCTCACCTGGGGGCTTTGCTCAGGTCTGCGAGCGGCATTAGCAGAATTAAAAATCCCAGCTCCTCCAGCTCCTTTGCACAAAGGGGAGATGCTTATGTAAGTTCAGCTTAAGCTCTGCAAATGATGATTAAAGAAATAAACGGCAATGAGTCAGTGAAAGGCTGGCCGTTCAGTTTTCTGCAGGCGCTGCACCTTATGTCACCTCTCCAGAGCAGACACATTGGCTTTGCAGTGCTGCTGGCAGCTGGGCAGCCCCTGTGTCTGACTGGCACTGGTTTCCACTGGGATGAGAGCGCAGATCATGCTGGGGAGGGATGAGCTCCCACCCTGCCATCCCTGTGCCAACGTCTTCAGCACAGCACCTCCCTTTCCAGCACAGGAACCACAACAAGAGCTGGACCTCCCTGGATGGACTTTCCTATTGGTGATGGCTGGTGGGTCTCCAAGGGAAGTGCCTGGCTGGAGCGCTCAGCAACGAGTTCATCAACAAAAAGGGGCTGGGAACTACTGAACTTGAATATCAGCTTTTCTCTCAGCATTTCTGCCTTCTTTCAGCAGCACGAGTAATAGCTTCCTCCAGTCAAACAACTTTGTTATCTAAAAAAGGCAAGGAATTCTGTTTTTACATTATCCTAACAGCCAGTAGCTCTTTTGCTTTTTTCTGTCTCTGACTTTTTTTTTTTTTTTTTTAAATGGAGAAAGCGGGCATTAGTCACATCAACAAATCATTTTTGGATGCCTGTGTTTTTAGTAATGGGCAGTACTAACTCCAGACAAAGCACTCTCAGCAGAGACCAGCAAAAGGCTGACAGCTTGAGTACAGGTCTAGGAGACTCCAAGCCAACTAATGAACTGTGCGGCCTCTCTGCTGGAATTGGAGAGCCCACAAGCAGGGCTTCAGGAGTTTGCAGCAGTAATGAGACTACTGAGGCTGCTTTCTGTAAGTTCATGATTCCGTGCTGACAATGATGCAGATGAAGCCATCCAGGTCCAGAACTTGCTGCAGAATAAATTTGGTGTTAAATCTGGAATAATCTTTGCAGCAATGCCTTGTAGCAAGTAGGTCTTGGAAAACTTAAGTGATGCTGTGAATTGCTCAGCATGGGCTATTATGCTATCGACAAAATTTTCTGAATGGATCTTGGCATGTGTTTCAGTCTTTTGCCTCCTTTGTCAATGCTCTTAATAGCATAAATTACAACTCTGGGGTACCTGTGAGGCCACTGAGTAACGCACTTGCCCAGGAGAAGGCTTTTTTTGTTTTGTTTTGCAGGCTGTTAATGCACTGTAAGAGGATAGTTCTGGCTTTGAAAAACAAGTGGAGAAAATTTTCCATGAGTATACATACAGGCAACAGTCAGAGACACGGAGGGCGGAAAGGATGAAACAGAAACTAGAGCACTTGTCATGGTGAAAAACTGTGAAGACAGACCATGTTTAGAATAAAGCAGAAGTGATATTCCTTGCTCTTGTTTTGTAAAGGAAGGGGAACTCTTCTTTTGACAAAACTAATGGTAAAGTTCTCTGTGAAGTATGTTAATTAAGTACTGTTGAATGCATGCCGTATATGAAGGTATGCCTGTCACTGTGTCAACTTAGAGGTACAAGATGCTGCCAAACTGAAACCCTAGCTATGTTTGGCCTTATCTTGTGAGCTCTGCCAGACGTGTATTGTTTTCCATTAACAATGTACAGCTTTTCACATCTTGTAGCTGATACTGAAAAATATTAATAAAAGAGGAACACTTGTCATCACAATGAAATCAATGCATTATGAAAGAATTCTGTGAAATATCCTGCCACTTTGAGAAATCGCCATTTCAAAGATATTTTATTTTTGTTACATTCGGGATTGTTTTTCTATAAAGAAAACATTTTCTGATGTGTTTTGTTATTTCAAGAAACATTTTCTTGGCTCATTCTGAGACTAAACTATGTTTGGAACATTCTTTAAGGGAAAACATCAGTCAATTACATTGGAGAGAATAGTATGGGAGACTGTGTTTGTCTTCAAGGCAAGTGTTCTGAGCTGAGGCTGGAAAAGGAGAGCCACAGAAATGGCATCAGTTTGAGTGCACTTCTTGCATCCCAGTTCTTAAGCATATTTGAACAGATTTAAGACAGATCTTTGGTGTTCTTTTTTCCTCCTGTACTTGGTAGGACTGCTAGCTGTGATTCAGTAAGCCAGCTTGAGTTGGGTTTCACTATAGTTTTGTACTGCTGATGTGGAATGTAATTACTAAAATAGCATTGGAAATCTTTGCTTTTTCTGGTGGAAATTACATTAAAACAAGGTCATTTATTATTTTCTGAATGACTGAAATCTGGCAATTCCAAATGTAAGGAAAGTCAGCTCTGAGCAAAACACTTTGTTCCTTGCTGAAGAGAAAAGGCAGCGAGAGGGGCTTTAGTGTCTGGATCAGCATGGATGCCACGCTCGTGGGAGGTAGCTGATGTGATAGATGTGCCATGGCTTCCATGTGGTGTGATTCTGGACACAGTGTTTTGTGTTCTGCCTCTGTTACCTGTTTTGCGAACGAGGAGAATAAGAGCTCTGAATGCCTGTCTCAAAAATTTAGGGCATGAATCAGTTATGGACACGCCGCACGTTTCATCCACGTGCGGGCTGTACCCTTGTGCTACAGGAAAGCAAATTTGTGGAGCCGAGGGGCTGCTGGGTGTCCGCAGCCCTCGCAAAGCACCCTTGATAGAGCAGGTCATGGTGCCTGGGATGGCAGAAAGTCCTGAGCAGGGTAGAGGGTTTCTCAGTGAATCACCCCTGGTGTCCCCAGTGCTGGGAGTGATGTCTACTGTCAACGGGTAGCTGCCTACAGACAGAGGGGGGCTTCTGACTCCAGCACTGAGGATGGCTTGGTCACCACTTGGTCATCATAAACTGGGGGGTGGGCTCTGCTCTCCTCTGCCCCCCGTGCCATGGTGGGGTGGCCGGAGCTGCCCAAGCTCCTTGAGGAGAGCCACAAGCACCATGAGCACGTGTGGAGGGTTTCGGCTGTGGGAGGCTTTCAGAGTTCCTCTGCCAGTGCTGATTCCTTTAAGTGCTGTCTACTGGATTTTTATCTTTTTTATTTTTCCCCTCGGTGTATATGTACTTTTTTCCTGTGATATTTGAAATGGTGAACATAAGACAACTTGTCCATAGCATACAGTCTATAAAGCATACCAATGGGAGGATTACTCAAAGGAGACAGAAGGAAAAGGGAATGGGAAGAAGTCTAAGAGAAACAGGAGGAGATGTGGTCTGTTATGCAGCAAAATGTTTCCAAAAAGGGAAACCAGTTCTCAGCCTCGGACCAAACCTCAGCAACCCAGAGACTCCTGCTCTTGAGCTGCCGAGCTGCTGCACTGTTGTTGCTAGTTATTTCTTCCACCTCTGTAAAACCATTCCTTCTGGCTGATCCCAGGGGATACCAGTTGCTTTGCTGGCGAGAAGCCCAAACTTGCAGGTAATATCCTACTGTGCAGCTCTTGGGCGATGTTTGAGGGTTAAAGTCCCCAGGTCATTTGCACTTTAATGTTGTTCTCTTTCAGTAGCTAGTTCAGAAAAAAAAAAAAAAAGTGTTCCCGCAAGCTTTACTGCCTGCTCGTACTGCTGCGTACTGCCTGCAAGAACCACACAGACAGCTGTCTTGCACGCTAGGTGCCTACAAATAAGAGCTGCCATCTCATTTTCATGCAGAAACATGTGCTTTGTCACTACTGGCCACCACCCATCCTCCTGCTGGTCTTACAGGGATTCTTAGCGTGCTGCCCCACCGGCTGACAACTGCCTGGCCGTATAGTGAGGGTCTGCCTGGGAGCTGCAGACTCCAGCCAAGCAAAACTCCTGTGACTTGTCTTGGGTTGCATTCGCTGCTGACTGCAGCTCTGCCATACCTTTCCCGGGCAGCCGCCTTCATGCTACGTGCGGAGCTCCCTGAGCACTGCAGCAGAATGCAGTGCTTAAAAGGGTTACGCGGGGATACGCTGGCAAAGGGAGGAAGTTCGTATCCTGCGATGAGAAAAGCCTAAGAAATCCGTATGTCATCCAGCTGTGACCTACCCCTGCTCTCACACTCGTGGCTGCAAGGGCTGGAAATGTAAGGCGGGTGACCCTCCCCTGTCTTTGGTATAGTGACAAAAAAACAGTTCGCGAGTTTTGAGCATACTACTGGGTGAGCAATAGTGCACTACAAACCAAATATATGGAATTACGTCTAATGCTGAATTACTGCTCTCCCGGAGAAGCCGGAGCACTGTTGCCATGACTATCGCATTTGCAAGGGAAACTCTCGCCTGCATCTCGGAGCACTCTGCAGCCAGCAGCATCTGAGCTGTCTCCTCCTTCTGGAGGTCCCAAATGTCACCTTGAAACCACCCCGTCCCCTCGGTACACTCTGTCCTGGCAGAAGTGAGAAAAGGGTCAGAGACGAGGAGAGATGTCACGGCTGCTGAGCATTGTGCTGGTCTTGAGTGAAAGGCTCCTGGCCCTGGTTGGTGAGGGGTGGCCACAGTGGTCCTCAGGTCCAACAACAGTGTTTGAAGCAGGTGCCTTCTAAATGGTTGGAAATTGGATGTGCCCAAACAGTGAGGAAGGGGAGTGGTGATGCTGAGGGCTGGGACAGCAAAGCAGCACACTGGAAAAATACTCTCCAGCTTAAATCTCAGTCACCTCTCCTCACAGCGTTGTTGAGAGATGTCTCCCTGCTTTGCTATGTTCAGCTGTTAAACAAGGACAGCGATCCTTATGTCACAGACAACTACGGACATTTTATTTAGAAAATCTTGTGGTAGAAGGCATTGCACAAAGGGAAGCAGAGCTACCTAATGGTATACTTGGCTTTCTCTGCAATACGTTATTTGTTGATTTTAAATTTTCCTTTGCTCTGCCTGAAGGCCTATAAAGACTGCTGCAAAAAATGCCGAGTCTTATTAACTGGAATAAGTAATTTTCTGTTTTCTTTTTTTCTCTCTTAAAAGTATACAATTCTATTGCAAAATTTCTGGCACTTGTCTCAGCTGTTTCCCAAGCAACTTGGCCTGTGGAATATGTGAACTCTTGTGGCTGCCACCTCACCCTGCACTGCATTCATCCCTTAGAGAAAGGGCAGGGTAAAAGCAGCAGCTCTTCCTTCTCAGAAAACCATCAATCTCATTTGGTATAACCACTAGAAGCAGGGGGGAGGAAAGGCAAAAAACCCAAAACTGAGATAAGGCAGCTTCTCCTCAGATTCCAGTGCTGGGCATGGTTTGCCTGCGCTCTCTGGCAGACAGCCAGAGTTGGGGGGTACCCAAGGAAAGGACAGAGCCTGAGTACCCGAGGTACTAGTGGCATAAATCCAAGAGATTTATAAATCTTAAATAAGCTAAGGCAATCTGTGGAGAACAGTTTTAATAAGCTCAGTGTGGTTAGCATTAAAAGCCAAGCAAACAGCTCCAATCTGCTCTAACTGAATCTTCTGAGGCGTGCTTGCAAGAAACCCCAGTAAAGCATATTTTAGTAATCCAGCCTGCAGAAGAAAATGGAGTAGATGCTCATATGCTGCGGCAGTCAGCCTAGATAAGGAGCGAATTGGTTACATGGTTGTCTGTTGCAGACTTATGCAGAAATGCGAAACCCCACTGCTAAAGGCAAGTGCTTAAGAGCTTGTGGGGTTTCCTCAGGCAGGTCGGGTGTCTGGAGGGGAGGATGTGGGGCAATGCACGGGGGATGGCTGTGGCCGATGGCAGCTCCTCAAGAAGATCCGCTACCGAAATGACAGCAGTCTTTCTTATCAGAAAACCACCAGACAGACAGTCAGAGACACCCCTACACAAGGGAACTGAGAAACTCGGTAGCTGAGCCTTATGTCATTTAAAAAAAAAAAAACAAAACAAAACACCCAAACCTCTGCCTCCTAACCTAGAATTAAGCCAGGCTTGGAAATATTTTTTCCTGTTAGTCCATGCTCTCTGTTTCTTCAGGGTCAAGCTAGAGCCAGCAATCAGAGGCAGATTAATGAATGAGTCCCCGGTCATGATTTCATAGGAAGCTGCTCCCAGAGAACTCTTTGCTAAGAGGCCACATGCTTGTCTCTGACCAGCTGCTTATGGAGATGGTTAGAAGGCAGAAAATGAGAGCAGAACTCTCCAAAGCACATATGTGTGTGACTGCGTACGTGCGTACGCACGCACACACCCACGTGGCCAGAAACCGCTGGGAACGGGGATTCTTTGCTACAGACAGAATGTTTTCTGGATATATATGGCGATGTAAAAGGTCAGGCTAGTCTGAAGTGCTCGGTGCCTCTGCAGACTTCCAATGACAGTTACAGCTGCTGATGACTAAAATGTAGGGACACTTATAGCACTTGCATCTGAAGCCAAGGACTGAAATACCACCGGCGTGCTCCCAGCCACTCAGCAGCTTCTGCAGGA